ATACGAGTCAAATTCCATCTATTTAGCCCAAAATTCAGAAAAACGGGTTTTTCTCAACAAAGAAAAGGAAAGAAAAAAAACACGATGCGTTCTCTTGTGACTGGTGGTATGATGAGTTAAATGAGATAAAATATCTGACTTCATCTCTTACTTAAAAATCTAGATAGGCTTACAAAATCAGCCTATGCGTATTGCACTCGGTGCGATTCGAAGCACCATCATCAAAAATTTTTTTTTAGATCGGGGTCGGTCTAATAACTTGTCTGCGCTCAGTTTTTGATGCTGAATCTGAAAAATGTATCTTTAGAAGCTGGAAACAAGAATATAGCAGAAGATTTTGCATATCTTGAAATAGTTTTTTTTTCGTAAAAAACGACGTCCTTCAAGTTTTTCGTGATCAGTGGCCCACACTCTATCAAATGATGTAAAAAAAGACAAAATAAAATGACTTGAAGTTTGAATTGCTCGCATCTTAAAATGTCTTCATTTTTTGAAAGTTTAAATATATTTGGAAGTGTCTTTGCTTTTTGACGAACATGATCTTGTTTGTTACTCTTAAAAGATTTCTCGATGAACTAAAAATTGTAAAAAAATTGACTTTCTGCCAAACTTTTATCCCCCGCTCTCCCCCCCCCCCTCCCACTCCTAAAAACAATCGACAACCCTGCACCCACCTATACCTTATTGATGCAACAGCTTTGACTGTTGTTGATTTTGGTATGTGTTTTCGACATTTTCATTTATCATTATGTTGAACTTAATTATGAAATTGATTCAGTTTATACGAAATACTCTTTATTCATTGAGCGTCTATAAAATTGTATTGTTGCATTATCACTAAATGAAGAACTATACATCGTTGTTAAGGGTACCCCCACCCCTCTTTTTTGACCTAAAATTCGATTTTGAGCTGAGCCCAAGGTATGATAGCCTGAGGTGCCACCTACAACTGGAGACATTATTCGACTCGAAACATTTTACTTTTACCTATTTATTAGATCGAGAAAAAATTTTTTTTCATAGTAATCGTATGTAAATTTTTT